CAGTGCCAGCCCTGCCCTGCCCAGAGCCCACCAAGCCCAGCCTGGGCATCCCTGGCAGCGCTGGCCAAAGGCTCCTGGAGCTGTGGCAGCCTCGGGGCCGTGCCCATTCCCTGGGCAGTGCCAGCACCCTCTGGGCAAGAACCTGTCCCTAAAATCCAACCTAAATCCCTCCCCTGGGCCAGCTCCAGGTGTTCCCTGGGTCCTGTCTCTGCTCATCCAACAACCACCTCCATTCCTACAGCCTGGAGGATTGGGATCTGTTTACAGTCAAATTCCACAAACACAAATATCCAGTACTAGGAAAAAACTCTTCCCTTTGAGGGTGGGCAGCCCTGGCACAGGGTGCCCAGAGCAGCTGGGGCTGCCCCTGCATCCCTGGCAGTGCCCAAAGCCAGGCTGGGCACTGGGGCTGGGAGCAGCCTGGCACAGTGGGAGGTGTCCCTGCCATGGCAGGGGTTGCACTGGGTGAGCTTCACGGCCCCGTCCCAACCCAAACCATTCTGGGATTCTATGATCTATTTACTTTTCAATTTGCCCCAAAATCTAATAAAAATCCAACAGCTGTTTCAATTTTTCCAAGGGAAAGTAAGAAAACAGATTCCTATGGCAAGGAGCTGCAGCAGTGAATGCTGGCAATACAACCAGCACAACTCTGAGCTCACAGCAGGGTTTCAGCATTTTGCACGACAGAATTCCAAACGGTTTAACAGAATATTTGCACATGCACTCACAGGAACACCAGGGCCAGGCAGTACTTACTGGTTCCAAAAGCAGTTTTATTCTGCCCATAGGAGAAGCCTGTATTGGTAGTGGAAGAGCCAAAAAGTCCTGTGGCAGTGCTGGACGTGGCAGTGGAAGAGCCAAACAAGCCAGCAGTTGCTCCTGCTCCCACAGGATTCGTGGGCCCTTTCCTATTTGCCTGGTAGTCTTCCAAACGGAGTTCCTAGAGGAAAATCCAGCTCTTTTTACCCAGGACAAGGGCAGGCAAATGTCCTTACCACACTCACACTGCACCCCATCTTCACCAGGGTGAAGGCTCAAGAAAAACTGTAACGCCCACATTTTTAAAAATAAGAACAATAAAAATGGGACCTGAACTTAGATTCATGTTTTTACCTCAATTTAACATCCCAGAGCCTTTTCATGTATTTTATAAATGATCTGTTTTGAAGGGTCAAACAAACCAGCCCAAATGGGAAGGCCTCAGGTTAAATCCTTGGGAATATTAGTTTATATCAAACAACTGAGCTCTGCCTGGGATCCTGCTGCTATCTCAGCAGAGCAGGGCTGTTCCCAACAGGACCTCATGTCCTTCTCACAAGATGGAATTTCAGCTTCTCCAGACCTGCATCAAGCACCTAAAGCCAACTGCAATTAACATGGCATTGCATAACATGGCATTGCATTAATTGTTTTACTTGACAACACCTCCGGTGTGTGATGCAGATATTGCAGGTTCATTCATATTTCTGCACTAATGAGCACAGGCAGCAGCTGAGGCCCAGCAAGGCCCGAGCAGGGCTGTGTGCCCCTGCACTGACCTCCAGGGACTTGCTCTCGTACTCCTTCATGGCAGTGATGCACTGGTGCTTGGTGTTGATGTTGGTGCTGACGCCGGATTTCACCATGGTGTCCGTGCCGGTCGGGGGCTGCAGGGAAGGGAGGAAGGGCCAGGTTAAAACCCAGTCACACTTGGAGGAACACAGCCACAACTCCCTGCAGATCCTGGGAAATCCCACACCCAGCACAGACCTGGGGCTCTGTGTGACTGCTCTGCTCGGCCAAGACCCCACCTGCAGAGCTGCCCCAGCCCTGGGGCCCAAGAGCAGGAGGATGTGG